GAAGGGAATGCATTTGCCATGTATAGACCAATTCAAATCAAACAGATTACTTTGTTCCTATTTGTTCAACCATATTAAGTATTGCATTGTATTACGTCCCTTGCAAACCAAATGCTACCATAGTGGAAAACTTCCTCATATCTTGTGTGACACGAGCAGAAACATATGTTATAGGCACCTGAATACCTTCTTATAATCAGTTTAAATTTGCGGTAAGTTTTAACAAATACCAATAAACAGCTTTAAGTTTTACCAAGAAACAACAGAAACTATGAAACTGGGCAGTTTCAACGAAAAAGAGAAGGGCAAAGCAGTGAGAGACGAGACAAAATAGGTATAAGCAATATACTTGAGGTACTCTGCATTTCTTTTTTGTGAAAAAATGAGACTCAGTGCAAATAACCTGAATAATCTATGATATGACCTTTTTGTTCCAGAAAATTATTGAAGATTTCTCACTAAAAAGATATGGACCAAACAAGATTACTACCTCTTTTGTATGTCATCAGATGATGAAATACAATCTTGCCGGACAAACATATTGATGACTTCATCCACTTCCTGTCTCGATAGTTCATTTATATCCCGAATCTGAAAGTTCATCAGTAAATCACGGAACATAATCACCAAATAGTTTGGAAAGAGAGGAGGGAATAATGAGACATGATAGTGACAGTGCTGCGTATTTGAAATTCTGATGCACCTTATTAAGCAACATGGATTTTTCCTCAGCCGCTCTTTCCAGAGCATTTGTCACTGAATTGAGAAGGGAACCAAGATCAATTAAAGTTGGTTGCTGCAGCCCAGAAGCACGGTACTCAGAAGAGCCATTGACCTGCAGACAGAACATTTTGACAGATAAAGAACATCAGCAATAGGTCTACAGAAAATCTGGAAGAAGTAAAAAAGGAAAGGAAATTACAAACCTGCAACCTCAAGGATTTCTTAGTGACCAGGAAATATAGATAGGAGCTCAAGCTAAAGCACAAGAGAAACGGGTTAAGTTCTGATTTTCTCTGAGCCTGAGCATACACCAAGAATGCAGAGAGAAACCCAAAAGAAAAGAAAAAACGATCAATTAATAAAATTGCTCATAATTTAATATAAGCTGCATCTTATATTTGAATAGACATGCAGAAACCTCAGCAGATGGAACTGATAGTGAAGTAGATGTCTTTGAACTGTGTGAGAAAAGAGTATGCATCATGCCAAAGAGCCCTTGAACAAATCCATATTCATCACTCTCCTCATAAGGCCATACCTGTAAGATGAAACATAACTGTTTATAGCAAGCAAAGCCTTAAAAATCAATGAAACTACCCAATAAGATAAAAGGGAAGCAGTTCTTCCAAAAACAACTTGAAAGTCCCGGAAAAAAAAACACATAATGGAGGTTTCCTTATCTCAATTCCCATTTGGCATCTGGAAAGGTCCAAGGTTTACTTATTCAACCCACAATATTCCATAGCTTAGTCCAATATGCATCAAACTTTCTGATTACCATATCCTGAAACCTATTGAGCGATGTAACTCAACATCGCCAGAGTATGAGATTTACTCTATAATTTATATATTTTTTAAGCAATCCTTTCTAACACAATAAGTTTTAGATGAAAATTTAACATGGTATCAAAGTCAATTCTGCCTTATAGTCTGTTTCTTCATCTGTATATGCATTGCTTGCTCACGTACATGCTATGTATGAGAGAGGGTGTTAGGAATGTAATCCCACATCCATCAAGTATGAGCATCTATGCTAACTTAAATATTTTTTAGACAAATTCTTTTACTAGTATATGGTTTTTGGATAAGAATTTAACAAAACCGAACTAAAAGACCACCTTGCTCAGTATGCCAACAACAAGATTGATCTGCTCCATCATCAATTCATTGGCTTCAGAAATGTCCTCCTGAAGAATTTGATCAAAAAGCAACTGGTGTGCTTTCACGAAGTCAATAACTTCACGAACAATTTTGTTCTTAACCTATCAAATATCCAGATGATAAAAGAAAAGACGAAACAGAAAATTACAATATGCAGAAACTCATAAGTTCGAAATTTTTAATAGAGAAAGAAAGGAAAACACAAGTATGCTGATCTTAGAAAAGGAGTAATGGAAGTAAGTGGAAAAAACAAAAGGCAAAAGCACAACATACCATAGTTTTTGGTATTTAAATGGAATTTTTCTGTCTTATTGATTTAATACAGTTGGATACAGTTTTATATGATTCTTGATTACTGTTCATAGTCTTACTGACTCAGAAGACCTAGTAGATCTTTTACCTTGCATTGCGGTACTTTTGAATAATACTTCTTCTATCAGAAAAAAACAGAAATAAAGGTAACCACGTAGGCTTCATCCAAGTTTGACAACAAGCAGGAATGTGATTACTGTTAGTTGACAATAAATATGCATTTGTGCTAGTCCCTATTTGATTCTTTTTCTTGTTGACCTATTACATCTTTAATTTGATTCATACAACAGATTGAATGGTATCAATTAAAGTTGTTATGGTATCTATTAAACTTGTTATTCCTTTTTTTTTTAGATGAAAAATGTTATTCCTTGAACCTTAATTAAGAGGGAAAAGAAACCTTGAGAATGAACAAGATATAAGACATGCAGATCTTTACCAGGGGAAGCTAAAAAAATGATCAGTTTCACACTTTTATTGCAGTTGATATGGTTGCTAACAGGACTGAAATACAGTTCCTCAATACAAGATGGACTAACTTGCCACATCTCAGAAACAAACAAATATTCCATGGTAAGAAAGACAGGCTTACCTCAAAATAATCACAAGTGCCGATCAATGATGTCAAAGAAAATACCAATCTCAAGACAGGTGTTATGATCATTCGTTGCCTATCAATATCAAAAGCCACATCCCTTCGGAGCTTTATATCAACACGCCTCAAACTTCCCTGAAGGTATTTTAGCTTAGTTTACTAGCAATTAAGATTTAGGACAAACAAGCATATTGATAGTACTTTTACCTGCAAATTTACAGCCCTACATGACGCAATATGGTCCAAAGTGCCCATGGAAACTAAAACCTGTGCCCCAGATTTCCCATAATTGTGACTAATTCTCAGCAGTAATGCAAGTTCAGCCTCTAGAGTGCATGCCCGTTGCAACGAATCCAGCGAATGCCCACCATCCTAATAAACAAACAAGCACAATTTTTGTTTACAATAAAAGAAGAATTTTTCTTTAAGAGAGAGAACTGTTACAAAAGAGAGAGAGAAAACAAAATATCATCCAACCAAAAAAGAAAGATAGAAGCAAAGCGAGAACATTAAGGCAAAATAGGAAGCCAATCCGTTTGCAAAGTAAATAAAAGCATGCTTTGAGAGAAGCAGAGTACCATCATATGCCAAGCTACATGAGATGGTTGAAAATGATGCTTAAAAATTCTAGCATTCTGTTCCAATAGGACCGGCAAATCAACAAAGACAATGATATATAAAACCTTATCACAAAGTTTGACCATGTGCTCACTCTATGATGAACATAGCACTAGAGTTTGCTAGCACCAAAAGCTCAAGACTGCACTTGCTGTCCTAAGAGGGTGTATGTATTGATAATTTTTGTTGGTCAAACCAGCTCAAGCTGGTTTTGAGTTAAAAAAATGTCAAAAGAGGGAGAACTCTCAAAACCCACTTAAATTTAAGCAGCTTCATAAAAAATAAAAAGCTAGTGAGACAACTTTTTTCTTTTGTAGCATCAGTGAGTCAAAGAAAGCCAATTTAACCAATTTTCAGACAAAAGTATCCTTGCGGACAAAAGTATCCTCATATTTTTACATATTCCCATCTTATATTTTGCTTCATTTTCTGTGATATCTTAGAATTAAGCATTTCTACACATCTGATACTTAAAATTGAAGAGAAGGCCATGGAACTTGGTTACTTGTCTTGGATATCAACTGGGTGATGATCAGATCTATTCAAGATTAGTTGTTTGCTTAGGTTAGTATTCTCAGCCCCAGGCTCCCAAGAAATAGAAGCTTATTACTTTCATCACTCATGCCATTTTGCAGACTAGTCCACGAAAAAGAAAAACAACGTTATTTAACAAGATCTCCTCCAATTTTGCTAGCCTTCGCATGCAATGGCAAACATTTAGTATTTCTGTAATGATCATCCCCTTCTTTTGAGAAGACCTTGGAGCTCTTACTGGTAACTTCTATAATCTTACCAGCAACATCTTGTTTCACCTGAGATTAGTCTTTCATTTAACAAGGGTGGCACCCCTTCGGTGCTCTTTTTTTTTTAGATAAAAGGTGTAAAGTATATATTGACAAGGTACCAAAATCGGAGGTATTGCTCATGTACAAAAGATTTACAAGAATGTTAGTATGTGTATAACATTTCCAAATTCACATCATTATAATGTCATGACCTAATAAGATAAATCCAAAAAAGTGATCCATCTATTTTTTAATCTATAAATACTACTTTCAACACTATCAAAGGCTCTACTATTTCTCTCTTTCCAAAGAACTCAAAAAACAGTCGTATTCGTTATATTTCTTTTTACACATAAGCCATCCTAAGCCCAAAGCTTCTCCACCAACCGACCCAGCAATACCCAATCAATCCCCAAAAGACCATCTATCATACACCAAAGACTGTAGGCATTAGGACACCACAGCAATTACCCAATCACCCCCTCGGTGCCCTTAATACATCTATTTTCTCTTTTTCTCTGTATCTCTAGAAAAAAGAGAAAAACTGAAGAGAATGGTATTTTGATTCTATTAGATCCATAAATTTGAGGAAAAGGATATTATAAGGAATTGAAATTTTGCTTGTAAAAATGAATATCAAGCAAAATTAGAACAGGATATGCTCATAAAGGGGAAAAAATTTAATTTCTTAGCGTCCTATATTATAGAAAAAATTCAATAATAAAATAACTAAATTACAATTTTTGTCATTTTGTTAAATTTTTAGTTTTAACCACTAATTATACAAGTTCCTTGATATATTTATCTAGAGAATGCAAGCCAGAAAAAGTTCAGCAAGAAAAATATGGAGCTGTTTGTTTGTTTGTTTTTTTTTTTCAATCAAATCAGTTAAAGTCATGGAGATGTTTTTTTCTAGATGATGTTTTTCTAGATTGCTTATACAATCTTCTCCCTCATTGGAAGTAACTGAATTCCCACATCTACCATAACTGAAAATCATTATCCTATCTTCCCCAATCTTAGCATTTATTACATAAGTAGGTATAACAAAACCAAAATACAACTTAAAACTCCCTCCCATTTTCCACCCACATGTCATTCTGTCATTGGATCATAAATTAACAGTGTCTGACTCGAGTTTTTTTTAATAGCATAATAGCTGTTAACTTTTCTCAAAAAAGAAACTGCTAAACTGTTTAAGTAACACAATATTATAAGTTATAATTATTTACATATTTGGCAAATATATAGCTTGTAAGCTATTATTACGTCAAACTAATGAAAAAATAAAAATTTTACAGCGTTTAAACTATTGGGACTCAAAAATATAATTTTTAAAATTATTTGTGGACACAATAGACAATTAATTGGTCAACAGTAGCATTTCTAAACAGCTCCGAAACTCTCTAAATTAAAAAATACCTTCTTCCAGCCATTTATAGAACATTATTTTAAGAACTTATTAGCTACCTATCTTATAAACTTTTTGCTATTTGAGGAAAACTTCAGGAAATTAAAAACATAATAGAAAGTTTGTAAGCTCTTTGCCAAAAAAATAAGTTGAGCCTAACACCATCAAGCTTATAGCAAATCAAAATAAACAAGCTCCTATAGGAGCTTATTTTTCTTTCTTTTTTTTTTGGGTTTTGGCTAATAGCTGTAAAAGAAAGATGTCATTTTAATAATATTTTCAACCTTTTTTTCACTGAGTACTTTTTAACTATTTGTCTATAAATCCTCTAAACCAAATAAAAATGCACTTACGGAGCATATTAGAAGTTATTTTTCAAGAGCTTATAAGCACATTGAACTTATAAGCTCTATGAGCTAAAAATAGTCAAAATCAAACAACCCTACTATGTTGACATAAAGGTCTAAAATCTTAAAGGTTGTTAGAGCTTAAAGTTTCATTAACTTAAAGCATTACAACACTAATCAATTGAAAAGAACCTAAGAGTTCAATCCAGTGTTTTTTGAGAATACTTATGGGATAGCATAAGAGTTCTGGGCTATCAAAAGAAAACAACAGATTTATACAAGCCATTTATTTGTGATTCCCAAAACTCCATCTTCACCTAGATCATCAATCAACAGGCCAAAGTTTTTCAAAGAAGGAAAAAGAAAAGGGACAAATGATTTTTTTTAGTTTCAATTTTTTTGAATAAGAACATATTAAAGAATAATGAAATAAAATGTGATTTCTTTTATGTTTCTCTTTGATATGTCCTGAAGCATGTAGCTGGTGTAGAAGCAAAATACAATACACAGGGAGCAAGTAATGACTCTACCATGCATGGGATAACCACTTGATAAGAAAGTTATAATGCAAATAAAGCATTACATAAAGATTACTACCTGGTAGGAAAAGTTACTAATGCTTGTAAGGCATGATCGTAGAAATCCCCGACTTTGAAGTTGACTGAAAAAATATCTCTCATGATCAATACAAAGAAGTGCATCCAGTACATATAGTGAAATTGTCTTTCCAGGTTCACTTCCCTGACTTGCATCCTTGATAACCTGAAAGCAACTTACAATTGGATCATTAAGGTATATGAAAGAAGTCAAGATTCTGAACCAAATAAGAAGAGGAACTAAAGTGAGGGGAATATATGATGTTCCCTGGCCTAAGATCTACTTATAGGAGTTGAAACAGAAAATCAGAAATGAGAAATTGCAGAATGTGTCTGCAATCTTCTTTCATTTCGAATCGAATTTCAATTCGTGAAGTGAGAACCCAACGTTCTCCTTACGTGTAAGTACTCAAAACTTCTAGTGAAATTCTACCCAATGCTTTTATTGCCGGTACTTATTAAAAATTTTACAATAAAATAAGAACAT